TAAACTTATCACGAAAAATATTTTTGAATGTTTAACTACTTTGTTGCTAACTATTCAACGATAATATGTGTATTATTTTTTATTGATTCCGTATCATTATTTAATAGCGTGTTTTATTACAAGTGATACTAATGCTAAATCCCTTTTCAGGTTTTGGCGGTAACAGTGGAGGCGGAAAGCTTAGAGCATACGGCCGCTAGAGACGCTAACGGCAGCACTCACGCCGCAGACAACGACCAAGACGACCAAACAGTTCCTCGTCAAGACGTTAGATCGCGCGCAACGCGAAAATGAATGTGACATCCTGTTTGTTTTTCTTTCTTTTTTTCGAAAGACAAAAGAGCGCGCGACTTCCGTGCGAGATCGCCATATATTTTTATAAAATGTAATACTTTTTTCCGTAATAAATCTTTTGTACAAAGGTTTTACATGCATCTAATGCACTTATTTGTTTCCCTATCATTGATATTGGTTTGGAATGCCCTTTTTCTTTCAGAATCAAGCTGCGGGTGGAAATTACAGATGCGACACTGATAACAAAACCTCGATATATTATATGCGCACGTTTTCTTTATCCGCAGAATACCTACCCCCACTCCCTTACCAACATTAGTTGAATTAAGACTAAATGATAGCAACGAGCGTTTTAGGCAAAATCTAATAACCAGAAATGTTCGCTCCCGTGTAATAGAAACTATTTTGCATCGAAGAAAGAACTACTAATTTAATGCCAAATTCCTTTCGTCAAAATAACCGAACTCCCCACTCCTCTCGCAACTAGCGAAGCGAGGACTCAAGAAAACCTGCGCAGATAATAACTTAACATTAATGTTTAATATTAAGGAAGCTTGTGCACCCTCGAACGTCAAAGCTCTATCGATCTTCTGCACATGCGCAGTTGGCGTTGCACACCACTTGTTCCTTCGCGCATGCGTAGATCTAGATAGCAGTTGGCTGTCCGCTATGGCATGCACAAACTCCCTATGAAACATCAACGTTAATAATACATCGACCAAAGCATCGAGGTCCTAAAATTTCTTTAGTAATCTATAACATTAAATTCTTGCTTAACAAACTTTAATTCACAATGTTTATTAATCTATAATTAATATTTAAATAAAAACGAAGTTAAAAACAAAAAGAACAACAAACAAAAGTAAGCCTGAGCATACACGGTCAATTCCAAGGAATATCTTTACATCGTCGAAGAAGGGTTCAGGAAGATATTGGGAGACCCTACTCAATTTACATCCAAAATATATTTTTAATGGAGTGGAATCTTTCACAAACATACTGCTACTTTTTAAGCAGCTTGTAACTGTTGGCAGAAATCATAAACATTAACTCGTGAGTTTGCACTTGATTAAGGGAACCTGAACACATTAATTAATAAAATGTGAATGCAATAAAGAAAGCTACGCGTCCAACAGGAGAAATTCTTTATACATTAATCTTCAATAAAAATATAAGAGCATATTTAGATTTTGAACCTCCGGATTCCTAAAGGAACCTCTGAAAGAGAAAAACTTCATACAAGAACTTATAGGAACAGAAATTAATAGAAATTTGGAAAAAAATATTCGAAAGATAGTATATGTATTTTATGTTATAGAAATAAACGACAGCAGCATACTGAGAGGCCGTTATAATCAGATTTTTAAGAACAGAATTAACAGGGGGAGATATTGATATGTTTACTTAAACATGTTTAGTTGATGTGATGTAATGGATGTTATATTGTTATGCAGTAACTATGATACATGTTATTGTGCATTACATTTAAATTGGTGAACAGAATAGGAAAATAGTTGATTCAATGAAGTAAATGAGTTTCTTATCAATTTTTAACACAAAAGCATTAATATTAGTAATATCGCAAGTGTACTTTTAACATACGTGAACATAAATCCAGTTCTTCATGATTCATTCTTCTTAGCTCTTGGCATTGAGAGTCACTGGAGTAAGTCAAGTGTTTGTCGTTTTGCCTCGTATGGTCGCAGTCAGTCAATGCCTTTTACCCCTTCGGCCAGGAGCTCGCCGGCGTTAGTAGCCTAGGTTCCCAGACGGTCACCCGTCCAGAAATGCTTGATGGCGCATTTTATTTCCGCGACCTTTCGGAGCGTAGTTATGCAATTCGACTAACGACGCCGTCTTTAAAAGGGCAGAGTTGATTGAAAAGTTAAAATATTTCCTTCAAAATATACAAAAGCACCCTGTTTTTTGTTAAGTAATCAAAGTAATCAAAACATTATCATGGAAAACAATTAAGGACTTTTATAAATCACAATGTCAGTTGTAAATTTTAAAAATTAGGAGCTGTAAAAAAATTGTTAAAATCCACAGTTTAAAAAAAGTAGCCAGCACGTCTCACATTCCCCTATTTTAATTAGTTCTCCCTGAAAAGTGCACGCCAATTATTTTCGCGTATTTCTATTTGCTATATCAATGCAATTTGCAGGTTCTTTGAGGTTACGAAGTGAAACACGTTCTGAAATAAAAATGTTATTGAAAACAATATTTATTTTCAGCATCTTTTCCTTTCCTCTCCTAGATCTTCCGCTCGTTTTATTATGTAGTGAATGGAGCAACATTATTGTAATTAACTACTTTTAGTTGGAAACATTGAAAATAAGCAAAAAAATCACGTCTCCCTTCCACAAATAAATGGCAACAGACAGTAGCTGAAGAATAGTCGTACAAACAACAGCTAGCGTTTAGATTTGTTTGCGGCAAAAAGCATAAGATGTGGACCTTGTATTTTTGTAAAATTATACTTATTCCAATCTATTTGCGGTTATTTAGAGTTGCAGTCTATTGCAGTTATTTTTTCTACCCGTTTATTAAAACGTTTGCGGAGACTCAAATAAGGAAACTTTTTTTTATTAAGTCCATACAATGTCATGTTTTCGAAAACGATATTTTATTCTTAAACTACTTGACTTATTCTAATTTTAATTAGAACATAACATTTATATAACTCATTAATGTATGCATTTTACGTATTTTGATTTCATTTTGGAATGAAATTGGATTTAAAAATATTCGAAACCCAAATGGAGACTCTGGATTTGGGTATTTCCCTCTATTAACAACCGAGGTGAAAACACTGTATCCCTTTTAAGCATATTGCGAGAACGGATGAGTGTGTGATTCAGAATAATTAAAGGTTTTATGGAACTGAGCTGCAGAAACCTAAAATGTGTACATAATATGTTTGACATATATTACTTTACATAAAATAGTTTAGAGTGTAGATGCAACCCGCAACACATTGCAATACACGAATAAAGTACATATCTCAGAAACTATGTGTTTTAGGGTGTTAAATCCTGATTTTCTTATCCCTGGGGATAATACTAATTCGCCATTAAACGATATTAACTTTACCAGAGTTCGTTGATATGTTATTTATTTATTTTACGTTAAGCATAAACATAGGGTACTGAAGAGAATACTTTGCTTAGTTGGGGTTGAGGTCACGATATCTGTTTCCATTGCAATTTTCAACCATGCAGGAGGGGCGAGAAGGCTAGTGATATCTCTGTTTATAGAGGTAAGTTTTCATAGGTTTTCTAATTTCTTGGGCATTAAGGGAATTAAAGCAAACAATAAACGTTGATGACGTATTTGTACAGAAATAAAAATTAATTCCCAAGGAACCAGAAAATGTATTTGATTCGAACAGAAGCGTGTGAAGTGCATCCAATGTATCTAACTTTTAAGCGTTTACGTTGTATTTTGACCAGCATTTTGTCTTTGTTCTGAAATTGGAGACGTAATATATACTAACACTAACATATGTTTTAGTAATGTAACATATTTTATTCGGACTGGTAGAATAATATTATTGAACCAAAACTGTTATAGCACAATTATGAATTGCCAGTTTAGTTTCAAGTTTACACGAGTACACTCGCCGGGGCGTGCCTCGTGAGTTTAACAATAGAGAGTTTTCCAGACGGGAAATCCAATGTCGTATTTCATAAACATCGTTACTAGGAAATAAAGTATCTTCAGAAAAATGAATTGTTACAAGTCTTCCAATCAGAAACATCAGTAAAACACGAAAGTAGTTGTAATAGAAAGCCTCTAGTAGTACCAAAATACTTTTACTGAACATATGTGTATCTTCTGATTCTAATTTGATTTTATAAGGATTACAAGATAGTAATACAGTATAGTGCATTAAATCTGGCTGTAACACACGAATATGAAATAAACATGTCTTTACCTTAAAGAAAAAGCTTCGCTTCCAAGCTATTCTGTAATTGAAACCACACAATTTTACTATACTCTTTATATTGTTTATATTAGGAATGGGAAATATATAGCAATTATATTTCCCTGTGGATAAATAACTAATTTTTCGTGACAATCGATGTAGCCTCAATGTACTGTAACTTCCAAATCCTAAACAAATTCTGTAGTTTATTTCTGACACATTTGAATGAACGTAAAAAAGTAAAAATTAACCATCAAGGTCCTGATATGTTATATTGGTACGATGGATATTTTGTTTTTCATTATTTCCACACTTATTGAGTCAAATTCGTGTTTAGAGGTAGCAACGAAATCTACGAAAAGTAAAAACTACAAACACATTCGTCGTAGACGACAAAACACGGAGAATTACGGAACCCGTCAATCTAAATCCCGTCCTTGAATGCGCTGTAAAATTCTCTCCAGAATTGTCGCGTTACATCTTTGAAATTCACGACATGCAAAAACGTTCTAATGACTTCCGAAGCAGTCGTGACATTACGAACGAAAATTTCCTCGGTGAGAGATCGAAGTGCAGTGGTTTGTCCTCGCGTCTGAATAAGAAGCATTGCACTACATTTCCTCGCACGCGCCCTTCCTTCCCCGTGTGCCTGCTCGCACGCACAGCCAGTCGATGGCCGGGCCCTCGGCGCTGGCACAGTGATTCCCCGCCGAAGCGCGGAGAGGACGCTTTTGCGCCACAGGCTGAGGGAATCGATCCCAGGGGACGGAGCCACGTGATGCTCATCGATCGCCCTGCCCGTCACGTGGGTCGCTTTGAACAGGTCTTAGCACATACATAACAGCTCAGAAACGTTTCCTTGGCTTAGATTTGAATGCAAAACGTTTTCAACGATTAATACCCTTAATTTAGGAGTTATTTCTATATTATTGTTACTTTTTATTTATTTAATTCTTTCCTTAATTGATTTTGATCATGATAATGACGTGGAGTCTTTTTTAAATAAACATCAAGACTGCCAGAACTTCTGTGACATGGCTACATATTTTTATTCACACAATAGGAATTCGATAGGAATAGAATCCGTATTACATACAAATAACATCTTTAAATTTGCGAATTAGATGTTGAAATATCATCCAATTTTTACCTTTTCGCCTTAATGCGTAAATAGTAAAGAGAAAGATTTAAAATTGTGCGCGAGAAAAACGTGGATATTTGTCAGAGAAACTCTAATTGCCGGGCCCTGGTAATGAAAAAAATGTTGTTCCTATATGTTGTAAATTGCTTCCTCCAACACGTGTAACCAACACACATGTCTGGGGGCCCTTATTGAAAAAATTGGTTGATAGAAAAAAGTACGTCTGTCTGTCGTCAATGCTAGAGTCTAAAGCGCTCAGACGAATTTCTCCCAAGTTGATATTCCCCGGCCGATTTGAATGAAGTCAAGACCCTGCGAGTTTCAAATGAATCTAATTAAATTTCAAACCAGGATATGTCAGTATCTAAATACGTTTACACTAACGTTTATTTCAATTTCAAACTATTATATTCATCAAATGATTGGTTATTATAATTAATATAAAATTAAGAAATGCAATGAACACTATGATGGATAAGACACAAATGACAAATATGTAAGACGATGCGATACTTGCGTTAAAATATCCAATAGAACAAAGTAAAAATCAAACCCCTGTCCACATTCCCCCTGCAATACGAGAGAATGTACGGAAACCGCCCGGTGTAGACGGAGGGGGGGCGCGTCGCGGCGCACTCTGGGGGCTGAGGCAGAGGAAGCCTTCATTGTGAGACGGAATTGACCAGAGGATCTTCAGAAAGCATGTGAGCAGACCAAACAATTTTACCAAGATCTTGGAAAAATTGAAAATATCAGAGTCACGAGATATTGTTGGTGAGGCTTTTCACATGCTTACATATGCACAGTTTTATTATGTATGATTGTGTTTTAAGATTTAATTGTTGTCTTACTAAAATAAATGTTTTTTTGAAAAAAAATATTTTAAAAAAAGTCTAAAAAAAAAACAAAATTGTATTGATTAAATTAATATAATGTTACAAATTAAAAATTAGCTTTGCCAGATACCTGAGATGGGGTCAAAAACCTACGACCCCCAAAGTGCGTAATTAAAAATATGTAACACTATTTACAGGAAGCTCTAACAATAAAAAAATATGTATTATAAATTCGAGCATAAATTTTTATTTATTGTGATTTGAATATTTTACTAGCATGATGAGATGATAAAAGTTAAAATTGGAAGAATGGACATGAGTTTTGTGATAAGCGAGTACGACTTCGAAATGCTTTTATGAAAAACGAGAGCAGGCTTTCGCAATGGAGAACGAAGCTCCGATAAAGGCCCTGCGCTGAAATAATGAGGCGCGCGCTGTGCGGCGGGCGATATGTGGCGCCCGGGACGCCTCGAGCTCCCCCCCCTTACGTTTTAACGGCTGGCATTTCGTGGCCGCGCGGGAGGGGAAGGCGGTGTGTGGAAGGGGAGAGGGCGGGGGGGGGTACGAACGCGAAAGAATATTCTTGAGAGGCAGCGAAGCACAGAAGGTAGGTGAGACCGGCGAGCGAGACAGAAGACGCAGAGTTCTATTTATAAGTGGGATTACAACAGTGTGGAATATTACAGGCCCAAGTTGAGTTGTAAAGTAATGTGATTCAAGATTGTTAGCGCTCATTTTGGCGGCGCTTACATTTCAGGGCAAAGCGATTTTGAATAACGGCGAGAGCCATTAAATTGAAAGCTCTAAAATACTATTAAATGTAATTGCTTTCGTATTTTGTCATTTTGTGTTTAATCTCAGAAAAACCTTTAATTAAAGCGGGGCTTATAAGAACTATTAATACACATTTCATTACATTTTTTTAGTCTTGGAGAGAAAGTGATAATGTTACATGCGGCGAAGGAAAGAAGAAGAAAGAAAGAAAGAAAGAAAGAAGGAAGAAAGAAGAAGGAAAGAAAGAGAAGGAGAAGAAAGAAGAAAGAAAGAAGAGGAATGGAAAGAAAGAAGAAGAAAGAAAGAAAGAAAGGAATGAAAGAAGAAAGAAAGAAAGAGGACAGAAAGAAAGAAGAAAGAAAGAAAGAAAGAAAGAAAGAAAGAAAGAAAGAAAGAAAGAAGAAAGAAAAATAAATGAAACTTTAATAAGACGCGAGGAAAGGAGTAAAACTTATTGCAAAACTCCTGCTTGTTACTTAAACAAATTCTGGTCAAGTTGATTTAAAAAATATAACAATTAGCGATTTAGAATAAATGAAGCAAGTGAAAATTCTCTTACAAAAACATTTCGAAATTACAGAACTTTCAAGAGTAAAAGCGAAAAAGAGAGTTCTATTCTCTATGTTTGAAGGCCGTTTCAGCACTTCCGTAGTCCATTAGACGCTCTCTATGAGAAGTCTGTAAATTCAATTGAACTGTACGCATTTGCTGTTACCAACGAGTCCAAGGGAATCATTGGGATGCGTATGGCAGAGCAGGTGTGGGCACGGTTCGAGCTAAGTTCGACACGAATTCGATGGAGGTGAGGAGCTACTATTACTAGTCCTGGACTATCTCCCGGCAACTCCGCCGTAAAGGAACTTCATTATCTACAAAACGTTCCGGTGAATATGAGCAGATGAAAATTTGTATATGTACTTCCCTTTAGTGTACATTTGCGTAATAAATTCGGAACGAGCTTCAATTGTGACCTCTGACCATAACATTGTCAGAAGATTAATTTCAACAGATTGCTATTTTTAAAACGTGTTAATATCGCTTGTAATATACAAGAAAGATAACTACTTTTATCATGCCTGTGCAAAGTATTGCAATTAGACAAGTACGTTTTTTCGCCGTTTTTTCTTCGTCGGCTACCTCACGGTACCTTTTGTCTCCACATTTATCGCGTAGACTTTTGGATCCGTAACACCGCGCACATTTATTCATCTGACGTCTCAACAAACACAAAATCGAGAAATGAAAGGTTAATTTTACACTTAATAAACTCTGAGGAAAAATGTTATGCCGATCTTTCCTATGGGATGGTTGTTCGAAAATGCCACAGAAACGATTAAATCATCTATCTTTTGTCCAAAATTTCCTTTATTTTATTTTATTATTTTCATTTTATGATAATGAAAATGTTTTAATATTACATTTTAACAATTAAAATTGATGTAAATGCGGCAACTTTACTAAAATATTTCGAAAGTATTGTGCAAAGTGTGGTTTTGCTCTGTAATGAAGCAATACCCCTACTTGACTGGTATTGTGGGGAAGGCTGCAGAAATGTTTTACTTCTCCTTTAACCCCAGAGGTAAAAGGTGATACTCAGCAATGGGAAAAATTGCCACATTAATCACACTATTAAAACTAAAAACGTTCTACCGACGCATACGTTTCACCGGACGGTCCTCCTCCACTGTGTGTCATCGTTGCCCCCTCCCGGGTGACGTAATTCAAGAACCCTAGTGCCACGCGCCAGGGGAGCAGGAGAAAGGGGCCGGGCTTCCGGTTACCAGGACGAAACGCGACGACCGCGGGGCGGAGTGCAGAAGCCTTAAGGCGGAAGCCCCTTCCTGCGGTAGGTCCACGCCTCTGCGGAGTTAACTCATTATTTGTATGCATAAAGTTGGCATTTTGGATCGATTGCCCGACTTTGTCGACTAGCTAACGGTGTCTCGTAAGCCTGGACCTAGTTTAACCCCATCGCTTGGGGGATAAGAGGGAGATGGCGCAAACATAACTTATTCCCTTCATTGTAACTGGCGAAATCGGCCTGTCTGAGCTTTTATTCGTCACACAGCTACCGAAAATGAGACGATTTTAAAGGAATACTAAAACTCTATTTTTGTCCCAACCGGAAATCGAATCCGGAATCACACCTTGGAAAGCTTGTACACTGCCCATGAACCATCTTAGAGCCTGCATTCACTATTTAATTTTTTAGGTGAACGCTCTAGGCGATTTTAGGAGAATTTAAGTTGCAGAAAATACTCATACTTTAAATTAATCTTTCAGTTCACTTGCAAACCGGCATGTACCTCTTCATTCTCATTAGATGCAATGTTACAGAGAAACTTCATCGAGTAGATTTAAGATAAAAATAAATATACACATAATCATTATGCTTAATTTTATAACTTATTTTCCATTATTAAATTCCAAATTCTTCCACTTTTCCCAAATTCTTCCACTTTCCCATTGACGCCTTCCATTTCTCTTCGTGTCGTCATCAAGGATGTTATGGACCTGACGTCATGTAAACCACCAGCCTAGAATTGTGTTGTTTACGACAGATTCTGTCACGATAGAGTGTAGTTTAATTTTTATTACAAACATCACCCTTAATTTTCTCCGATGTAACTATAAGGGTGTATTTTATCTTGTAAATTCATTGAGAAAACTTGATTTACAAATAGCACAATTTTCGAACGGCTGCCGCACTCTCTAGTAACAGTGTACACTAGTAACAGTGTACATCGCTATAAAATTCGTCGTACACGAATAGTACACACTGTTCGCTTATCAATGGTAGAAGAGAGAAAACGAAAAATAAGATAAAAATGCCTCTGAAGAACACTGTTTGTTCCGCAGCCTAAAACACGGTAGCTCAAGAAGGCTTTACTACTCATTTCTTCCCAACATGGTCACCCTGCTTGACCAAACATTTGTACGATGGTTTTATCAATGCATCGATGCGACATGTAAAAAATTGGGGTCAAGGCTATAAAGCTACGTCCGTAAGGCATGCTGATCACCCACATCGATTTTCAATTGTCCGCCACCAAAGAGCTTCTTTATTGCTCCAAGAGATGAAATCACTGGGGAGCACCTTGGAGTGGCAACTTTTGGAGATCGATAATTCCCATATCTTTATCTCATTTATTTGGGTCCCGGAATGCATTTTGATATAGAAATGAGCATTTCATGGCTGCTACTCCTCTTTCACACAAGTGATAGGAAAGTTGCTTACTGCTGGGAGAAAGTCTCGTGTGACTAAGATAATGCAAGGAGATTATTGTTGAAACGAAAGATGTAGGAAAGGAAGAAACTGTTAGTATATGTTCTCGATTTTTCTCTAGCGATGGCGTTTTCAAAATTTGCAGTATGTTTTTTGTCAAATTATCAGAATTATTTTAATTATGCAATAAAGTGAAGGTATCCGAAAAATATTATAAAAGCAACAAAATACTTCAACTGATTTTTCCGGTTAGAAGCTACAGAGTACTTCTCCCTTGAGCCAAGGTGGCAAACTACGAGTAGCAAAGATTTATTTAGGTTAGTAACTATCCTTGTGTCAAATTATAGATCTTGGCTGTCCAGTAGCGCTGTATCGAAGACTGTGTTGCGTGTCTTTCGACCATTTCTATTATCGTGGTCTTCTTCTGGGAATAGGGCACGATGAATTCCACAGAGGTGAAGTGCCTTAGACTTCACGCACTTCAGGTAATTGACGAGCAACTCGGTAATTGACTTCGATGTCTTATGCCCAGATGCTTTTAGGTACCAAGACAACCAATGCTTTGAACAGTTTTAGTGGGAGCGATAATCGCTCCTTGTGTATGTATTTAAAAATTAACTAATTAACACTAGCTTAATAACTGCTTTGACTGCGCCCAGTTTAAACTTTTGATGAATATAATTCCGTGAGCATTGCGTATTCTTTGTACATGTATACTATAAGAAAATACCTTGTTTCATTTGGTTTTTTGAAACTTTATACTTCTTATTTCATATTATCCGCCATATTGAAAAACGGGGATCAATGACCGATGAGGCTCAATACATTGTACATCTTCTAGAAGAAACGAAGCCATTGCAAACATTATATATTACTTAAAGAAACGCTACCTCCTTTACAAAAGAAAATTCTACCAAATATTCCTGTTAGGCTGGAAATTCAAATAAAATACTGATACAAACTAAGATAGAATACTGCATGTAAGACGGTCAGATGAACTATAACTTGTAAGACACTTGAATGCTGTGAAAGCAAAACTTCACAATTTACCTTGCAAAAACGATGATTTTTCTTACTGCTGGCCCTTCGATGAACCTTTCTCTTTTAAAATCATGACGTTTCAGTTTTCACATTTTTCATTGTTATATGATAGTGGCATCTTACATCTAATTTATATGTGATATGTGTACTCGTAAATGACATGTAAGAAATGTCCCAACATCTACTAGGTCTGTAACAACTCGTTCATTTTGTTCTACATCACAATTTTAGGAAAATCAAAGAAAGGCGCAAACATTTTACACGTTAGTGAGACTTACAGTAGGATCTCGTTAACACGGACGTCCGGATAACCTGAACCAGTTTTGGAAAAAAAAATATTGTGTTGTTTGACACAGTGAATGAAGTTTTGTTTTACAGACGATAAATTCTCAGTAGGATACTCGAATTCGCTTGCAAGAGGCCGAGTTCATTGCCCTCACCCCACTTGCCACCCTCTCCTGCGTCTCCCCACGCGTTCTGCATTGGGCTCTCCAGAGTGTTGAGAGAGGAGGCCCTAGCAATGCTCTGAGCATTTTAGGATCATCTATTAGTTTGTATCGATGTATAATGGGTGCAATGTAAATTCACAAAACAATGTCTTGTTAGGGGATACAGTAAATTTTATACTCCAATAAACATATCTGTCGTAGGCTGCAATAGTGACACAAAAAAATAAAAAAAATTAGAATATTGAGTTAATGCACTCCCCTGAATTACAGATATGTCTATGTTTCAGCAGCAACATCTTACAGTTCATTACTCCACCAAAAAGGGTAGAAGTGTGAATGCAAGTATGATGCATTTCACGACAAGTTGAAAATTTCAAATGCATTTAACCCAATACCACGAAAGACATATATGGTAAGTCCATGTTATTTTTTATTGTTTTTTCCCTAATTCCGTGGATAACCCTGATTTTCGTTAACTCAGATCTGCCCTGCCCTCAGTTAATTCGGGTTATCAAGGTTCTCGTGTAAATCGTTTCTTTCCTGTTTACAAGGAGGCTGGTGGGGTCGGGAGAGGTGCGGCGGAAGCGGTGGTGGGGGCAGGGGCGGGGG